GCAAAATGTGGATTTTTTTTAAGCGCTGTAAATGTTACTGAATAACAATAAGTGATCCATAGCTATGTGGAACATTTTCACACAATATACATTATTTTCTATATTCTGGTGATTTATAGAGAATTGAACTAAAAGTATGGGCCCTACTAAAAAACTTGCATCTACTCTAAACTAAGAGTTTCTAAACTGTGTTTATTAATAATTCTATGCAGCTCAAGTAAAATAAGCAATGCGAAACAAATGAGTTATTACTGGATTACTAGAACTCATACAGGAACCGTGCAAACTACACTGTGTATGAATATTTGGTAATAGGCTAAGGATTAAAAATCTTAAATCATTATCTTATTAATTTTTTACAGTTGACAATTCAGACCTTCTGTGATTCTATAAAAACTCACCATGACACGAGACAGTATTTCTATGGATGTTTCATTGTGGTAGATGTGATGGAACTTAAGTTTTTAAATATATTTAATGGACTTAAATACATCCCTGTGGGTTTTCCTCTATGAATCCTGATAACTGAGTTGTTCTGCACGTCCTCTCTGGATGTGGTTGGTCTTTTCTTGGGTAGCTGATCTTTTGAAAAATAAAACGCAATTGTTCTTTTCTGTTGTGGATCTTCTATGGGTTTGTGAGGCATATCTGAAAGCTTTAAGAATTTACTTTAGTTTATTGTTGGTTTAATTAGTCCTAAAATCCAACAGGAGATTATTCAACTAGACTGAGTGATAATTATCTTACTTGTGAGCAAAACATGGACTAAATCTGGGACTAAATCAGGAGGCTAAATTAGAAGCAACAAGGATTAAAGCTTTATTAAAAAAAAAACAGCTCTGTATGTAGAGAAAACATCCCATTTGATCTGATCCTACACGCAGTCTCCACATTGACAACAAAAACACTGTGGTTAATTATGCACATCAATAAACTAAAATTAAAGATGATAAGCACAAAATTCATGCTCTTTCCAGAACTAGATTTTGTGTTATATGGGGTAAAGAGAAAATGATGTGTCTCTAAAAGTAATCTAGGAGTTTTCAATGAAATCATAGATAAATAACTAT